TATTTGAGACTGAGAGCAATAAAAATGGAATGTCGTCATGTCTTCATTCGAAGTTGATGTGTATTCCCTATGAATACCAAAACAAAAGGTTATGATTGGGGAAAATTTTAAGCAAACAAAATTTTGATTCTTACTTGTAAGACAATCTTGGATAAACATCGCACTATTCTTTCCAATTACTTCAGCACTTTGAAATTCTCCAATTTTTCCACTTTAAGGACACATTTAAGCTGAATTCCTTGGTTGTTATTTTCAAAAATTCATTATCATCGTTTCCGGCCATTATTGACCTATTATACGTTTCAACTCTGATTTTTCAAGCGATGGAACCAAATCCGAGTTTGCTACTCGTTTTTGCGCTATAATTGCAGAATTATAATTGCGGCAGTCGGTACAGGTTTTTCTTGGCTTTCCGCTGGTTGTTCGGAATGAAGAAATTTCTCTGGTTCTTTGACAGAGTACAGGTTTGTCTCTTGTGTCTCTTGTTTCATTGTTAGATAATGAATATAAAATTTTAAGTGTTCGATCTAATTCTAAGTTTTTCTTGCTTAATTCTCACTTTCTGCTGGACCCGATCTATCGTCTTTTATAACTATTTATAAACAAAGTTTAATCATTTACCTATCGCGAGGAACTTTTATTCACAACGAGGCGCTCGCTAAAATCATTTACCATAAAAACAATATTGGTTGGTAACAAAGACCGTTGAAGACATCTAGGCGAAAGCAGCGAACACACCAACAAAGAAACAAATATAGCAACAAAGAGAACAAAGATAATAAAGTGGGACACAGAATTATAAAACCATTTATTACGACATCGCTACAGCAATACTCTTGTATGATTACGTTCAATAATAGCGTCTGTGAAGTTTTAATGTAAAATAATTATGTGTCTGTTAATAACAAAGATATCTTACAAAAAACTTGGTATGACAACGATTTTCTTGTTAACGTTATAATTTCAGTGTAACAACGTTCGTTGTAAAGTTATACGGCGATATATAAACTATCGCTATAGTTGCGATATATAACAATAATGATGTTTTGTTGTTTTCTAAAGAGATAAACCTGATTATTGCAGCATGAGGCAACTGCGCATTACGGTTACGATTGGGCACAAAACGTTCACGTGCCCATTCCGATCAACAGGTAGTAAAATTTATTACCTCAGTCCGCGTAAAGTGCATTTATTTGGCATTCAAGATGAAGCAATACGCGAACAAATTAATTATGTTCTCGATAAAGACGAAATCATCGGCAAAGGTTCTAATGGTACGCTAAGCCTGGTATTTGATGGAATTAAACGATTGAATAAAGGTGAGAAACATTTAAAGATCACTTGCGATAATGCTGGCGATCAGAATAAAAATAATGCTACCATTTGATTTTACTAATTTGTGGCTACTATGAAAGTGTCGAATTAAATTTTATGGTACCTGGACATACTAAATTCAAGTGTGATGGTAGTTTCGGATTGATTTAAAAATTATATCGCAAAACGACAGTAGATTGTGTGAATCATATTGTTGAGGTTGTGAAAAGATCGAGCACAGCGGGCTCAACGTTATGACAATGGGAAAGGCTTTCAATACGTAGATCTTAATTCTGTGTTAGAAATTTTTTTTAAAAAATTAAGTGGCTTACAAAAATATCAGCATTTTGTATTCGAAGCAGCTTATCCAGGAGGCGTCAAAGCTCAGCTGACGGCTATGGCTCGTATACTGAATTTAATTTATTGAAAACCAGAAAAGCAAGTATTTCTGAAATTACCAAAGAAATTAAACCTTTTTCTATTTTAGTTCTAATTCCGCCTCCTTTGGATTACAAAAGACAAGAATATCTTTATCGTAATATTCGCCATTCATTAGAGATGAATTTAAAGACATAAGTTGTCCTATACTGATAATGAATAAAATATTTTAGTCAACTGCAAATTTTATTACTTTATTAGTTTTTGTTTGTTTCTATTACTATTAAATTCTTTATGATTTAATTTTTTAATTATTAAATATAATATAGGAATTAAAATCATGACACACCAAAACAATATTTTAACCGAAGAGGAAATAAAAGAACTAATTGGCAATTTAAACAGAAATCCAAGTGAGGCAGAGATAGGGGCAGTTATAGACTATTTTTGACTTTAAAACATTTAGAAGACAAAGAATTTAGAAAAAGTTTTGTTTGTCTTATTTACTGCACTTGATGGATACAAAAAAGCTGATAACCAAAACTAAATTGACACGGGGATAATTGAAAACTTTTTATCGCGTTACTGGAAATCACGAATGAGCCCTTTCTGATTCTCCACGAATTTTAAAACGAATTTCTGGTTTGAAAAGCCTTGAAAGTTAGCGACTGCACCTCTCCTTTCTGAACGGAGATAACATAATTCTTAATAAATTGTTAATTTAGGTAAGTGTTTGTGCGTGGGTTTGGTATTCTTAGAGTATAAGTGATTAGTTGGGTAGTCAAGTTAAAAGTTTACAATCCTTAACAACCAGTTTAGAGAAAAAGAGAAATGAATTGCTTGAAATAAAATAAGCAATTGGGAAGTAAAGTTAGAGGAACAAGATAATGAAATTGAAGAGCTAAACGAGAGAGTAGAAATAAAACAGGAAATGTCTATGAAAGCACTAGATAAAGCTGAGGAACGGCATGAGCAAAAAAACTTTGAAATAGCTATGCAGAAGGATGTTTTTATATTTAGCCAGCAACAGACAATAGAAAAATTGAGAAAGGATTTAGATGCCAGGGATGAGAAAATAGCCAAATTAACTAAACCTAAGAAGTTTCAGCAACTCTGAAAGTTAGCAAATAAAACTAAGAGAAAAAATTAGCACAAAAATTAATGTAATTAAAGAAAGCATTAAGGAAAAAGAACAAAAATTCCAAGCCTACATCTTACAACAGTTTGAGACACATGTTTTGAAACAATAATTATGAAATTGGAATATAAAATTCTTGAGGTAGCAGAAGGAGATAAACAAGATAAAGATTGTAATTATTGCTCATTCAGTTTTCGAGATTTTCGTTTTAAAGACAATCTTACTCTCAACATTGCTACTCACCAAGTAGCAGCATTCAAAGATAATGATGATTACGCTGACATAGCTTATATTTGTGCTGATTGTAAAAAAAATTTTGAAAATGATATTCTTCCTTACTGTGAACTTTGTGGTAGACTAAAGAGAAATAGAAAAGGTTGCTTTTGTAATCTGTTAGAGAATAAACCAATACAATCACTTTCTATGGAAGAAATAACATTTAGAACTTTTGGTTATCGTTTGGAAAAGAAAACTAGAGAATTAGAAAAAGAATTATCCACCACTAAAGAAGAGTTAAACATTGAAAGAGAAGAAGTAGTTAAATTTTATGACAAATCAAAAGAATAAAGTGATGAGAAAATAAAGCGGATTAAAGAACTAGAAGCAGAGAATGCTAAGTTAAAAGAGGAAAATAAACAATTAAAGGAGCAACCAAATGGTTAAGTTGCTCAAATTGAAGTTAAGGAACCTAAGAGATGAAGTTGGTTGAAAGTTAAGAAGTAAGTTAAATTTCATAAGTGATTTTTTCTTGATCTAGATATTTCTGGAGTGTTCGGGTATTGTTGACTTTAAAACATAAGGTGCAATTTTTTCACCTTGAGCTTTTTTTAAAATGCTTCGAATAGTGCTGTAATTCTTTGGTTCCGTAGTGGATTTAATGTAAATTAGTTCATATTAATATTTTTATATATAGAGGTAATCCTATATTAATCCTGTTATAGTTTATATTCATCACCTTCTGGTATGATAAAGTGAGCATTAAAATTAACAAGTCTATAAGTTACAATGAGCACCATTATTACTTTTCAAATGTCATCATTCACACTGGTCATTTTTAATTTATAGAATGTTCACTTTGTCTGGTTTTGTTGCAGCATGCCCCATATGAAAGCTATTTGCCTGCTTTTCACAGCACCAGAACAACAACATAATCATTTTGTTACGAAAACAAAGTTTGAGGATTTTCGTCAAGAGAAACGTTGTCTTGAAATTTGGAGTACCAATACGCTCAACCGTGCAACAGTAGAAGACTGGTGTACCGCCAGTCGCTGCACACATAATGTTGGGGAACTTCTGGACCGTATCTGGCGCGACGCTGACACTAATACTGACTAACCAAAGGGATATGTTAACAATCGATCTGAAGACATTATTTGATACTGATGGTCGACACCCAATTTGGCAAACGCAACGCCCGGCTCGATCGAATCGAGGATGAACTATACAATTTGACATATGACATGAGCATCATAAAACACTCGCCGAGGCTCATGTCAGAAAATGTTTCAAAACAATCTCTGGAATAATTTAGACATTTTCATATCATATTCCAGCACAAATATCATGAATCACAAACATAACAACTGAGAATGATAATGAAAATACTTCCAGCACCTCAATAATGGGTTGTGGGGGATTGTGCAGGATGAGGGATTGTGAGGGATCATGGGATAGGGAGTATATATTCTCCTGAATTCGCATGTACATATTAATATAAAAAAATACTAGCAAGCTCCAGAAATATGTCTGAAATCTCATTACCCTTACCCTCCTCTTTAGACTTTGACAACTCATTTACATTAGTATTAGAGATAGACCTCCATATCATATTCCATTACTGACACCCTATAGCATCCAGTCTTAGCAAGAATAATAACTGATTTCCAAGAATCACAATATAATGAGCTGTGTCTAAGTATATTGGTAATGCAAATGCTTTAAAGCAATCTCTAGAATAATTTAGACATTTCCATATTAATCTCATATTACAGCACAAATATTGCGAATGCGAATACTGGTGGTGCAAATGCTTCCAGCACTCTCATAATAATAATAATAAACACAAGTTCCAAGGATACTATTCATGAACAAACTTGATAAAATTCTGATTATTTGATCGCATGCCATTTCCATAACAATGACTATTTTAAACTCTGCTAATAATGATATTACATTAAAAAAATATTATCCAATTTTTTTGTCCAAGTTTTTAATCGATTATTGAGCAAAACAGCAAATCTGTCAGCCAAACTTAAAAATTTTCAATTATAAAGTTAGAACTAGCTAAGAAAACAACTACAGTCAAACCTCGTTATACCGATACCCGTTATACCGATAACCTCTTTATAACGATGAAAAACGCCGCCCTAAAATTCAGATAGAAATTTTTACCCGTTATACCGATAAATTATAATAAACCCCGCTATAACCTTATACCGATACATTTACTATTAAATCACACCCCGCTCTACCGATAATTGTGTAACATTTACTAAATTGGGAATGATATCAAGCATTTTGATTTCATCTGCAAAAACGTCACAGCTTAATCTTAACACAAAACTCGCAAAACTCAAGAATAGTAAGTCTTTAGCGAAGAGACAACGAGTTGTATTAATTCATGCACAGAAGAAAGAAATATGCACTTTACTCCTACTCCAAACCAAATTGATGTTGGATATCAATACGGGATTAGGAAAAATAGGGTAACTATTAAGGGGAAATGTTGGTTCAGATTCATTTCATACGGCTGCCATTATGGCCGCGTACTCCCTCTCCTCTTTAGTCGCCGTAATCCAAAGGGTAGGACACCAATTAAGAAGTCATCCGCATATCTTACATATCTCATTCGTTTATAGTCAGGATCTTTCGCCATTCTGGACTGGATGCTCTTTCAAAAATTCGGAGTTTAAGAAGTGATTTGTTGACTCACTCTATTTCAAAGAAAAAGCAAACGTCTATTGATAGTTTTATTTACAACTATTAGTCCATGCAAATAAACAATAAAGCTTGACACCTTCGTCCAACACCCCTGACCTGATAAGCGATATTTTGCGTATCAATCATATATTATCGGTAGAAAAAAAACCCCCCGATTTACCGATACCCCGCTTTACCGATAAATTTTTGGCGGGACGAAAATATCGGTATAACGAGGTTTGACTGTATACAGAACAATGTAGTCCAATCGAGTAAAATGATTATTCTGCTAAACGGATAAGGAATTGACAACCAAATGAACAAAATTGGAAGCAACTTTACGTGGTTATGAAAAACATTTCGTTAAGGAAGTGAAGAAATCTTCGAAGAACAAGACAAAATCAACTTAGCAGCTGTCAGACATTTTATCAATCAAATGACATTACACCGTATATTTTCACTTGGACAACGTTAATTAAACTTTTTTATCCCGTTGAGTTAATTGCAAATTTCTACCAAAATAAAGTTGATAATAATTACTAAACGTACAATTTGAGATATACAGTAACGGTCATAAGACCTTAGTTCGTGATACGAATGCAGAAACAGTCTTTTAAAAATTTCCATGTGAATAGTGTATAATAAAGTCTGTTTATCTTAAATTTTCAGCGCGATCAAATGTTTCTAGCAAATTTTTCAAACATAAAATGGTTTATCTCTATACACATATTAATATGCAACTTTTGATACAAAAATTCCTTGACACTTTCAACAAAAATTTCGTGAAAAGCTTTTTACTTGTTCTTTTGTGTTATCAGAATGTGTTCATGCAACTGTCGTCCGAAATACTATGTGAGTTCTGCTGTATAGTAACAGGGTTTTTTTTTCAATTCGGAAAGAAACGTATAACCACGAATTTGGAAAGATTATGCAAATCGCTTAGAAACGTATGGTTTATGTTCTCAATAAGTGATACGCAATTTGATATGGTCTGATATATATTTTATATATTTCTAACATTTCTACATAGACGTTAGCTAAAATTTACAGATAACCGGGCGGGCTTATTATATACTATGCACAAAAAGGTTTCCTCGTTCGTATCCGAATTAGGACCGCTCGGATACTTATGACCGTTGTACCACGTAAGATTTATTGCCTTAATGTTAGGGCGTTCTCGACAGTCTTCTAAATAAATTATACTGTATTTAGGTTTTGTGATAACGTTCTTTTTATGTGTAATTCTTATTTTTATTGTACTCTAATTGTAATGACGAGTCTCAACAGGATTTTGACAAAAAAATTTGCTTGAAATAGAATTAGCATTTGACGCAAGTTAATATAATTCATGATAGGCTTATGAACAAATTTCCTTGATCAGGGCATCGAGCATTCCGTGCTACATTGCGGTGCTTGCTGGTTGCATCAAATTAAACCAAATTTGAGCGGAACTCACATACAAAGCTCTAGTAAACAAAAGTTATTAAGATGCAAGCATGTGTACTCATCCACACATTGTGTGTTGACTACAGAGATATTATAGTGGTTTTTTAGAGGAGTTGATTTTAATAATGTCAATTATAAGCCGTTAAATTAGCATGTATAAGTGCGACCGCTCACAGATTAAAATTGGAATCTAGCGCTTGATTTGTGCCGTGGCTTTTCGAACAACAACACTAGCCTTTTTTTTAAAACCAAATTTATTAAATTTGCAAGTTAACATTTATGCATTGCTCTGTATTTAGGTTAACTACTCTTTTCTAACTAACGTTCGTCGGGAAGTTATGTTCGACACCATCATGGCCCACTCTCTGACATCCGTCTACATTACTCGGATCGTATGTTTCACAATATTTGCATCTATTAGTGCAACCATCTTGCTTGGATTCTCTGTTACATTTCTTACACGTTTCATAGCAAGGAGCTACATTATCATAATGTTTGCATTCGGAATAATACTTCATGCATCCTGTCGCTGACAAGTCTTGGTTGCAACAAGCGTAATATGTCGCACATCCAGATGAATTGGGATCCTCATTTCGACAGCAATTCCAATATCCGGGTACTAATCGAGATTTGTTAAAATCTGCTATTCCTAAAGTAACGATGCGACCAGTCCATGCCCAAGCACTGTTATCCATCACTTCTTCCGTAGTGGCGTTATGAAAATAGCTGGAATGACGGTGAACCTTTCCCGCGATATGTTGATAGTTAAATTGACCGCGATGGCTCCAACCTGTATTTGGATGAACTTTGCAAATCTTATGACAACGAGGACCCGCAAACCTTGGATCAGCTATTTCGAGACAATTCGAACATTTGACTGGATTTAGCTTAAGAGGAATAGGATGTTGGATATGGTCCTTCATCAGAGATTCATACATTTCGCGGATTTGTCCTAGTTCCGTCTCTTTAAAAATACTCAGTTCTTTTAAAGTATCGCTAGTCAATCTACCGTATGTTGCTTTATTTCTTCCGTCTAACTTTTCGAACAATTGGATATTACATTCGCCGACGCCTGAAAGCAAATCCTCAGCAGTGTTATGTTTTTTTTGCGCTACTTTTCTGGCCGCTTCACGGGCGCCTTCTTCAACTTGTAACCCTTTAGTGACTATAATGGCGTTATTCCACACATTTTTGTCAAAATTCTCTGCTATAGTTTCTATAAATTGCGCTTGACGCTGGAACGAGGATAAAGCTCTGACTTGAGGCGTTACAAACCACAAGATTGTTGTTATATGAGGAATTTTTGCTTCTACCATTATATGAATAATCGAGCGCGCAGTGTCGTCGTCGTGTTTATTCATGTCAGAATCATCGAATCCAGGGGTATCAATGTAGATGCCGTCTTTAATTTTATAAACCGTAACCGATTGAGTTTCAGATGTGCTGGTATGTCCGACTTTTACTCCCTGAGCTTCAAAAACAGTCGCAGTGAAGCTTTTTCCCAGTCCCGTTTGTCCAATGGCAAGAATACAACGCTGCGATGACTAATAGAATGTTTAAATATGAGTTTAAAGTTTTCGTTGAATAATATAAAGTAAAACGTATACTTACTTTTCCAGACATTTTGCTTGTAGCCATACAAAAACGAAGATGGTTTGATTGCAAAGCGCCTCAACATTGCGAATTTATATTGATAATGCGGATATCACCGGTTGACAAGAATTTCCAACTCGGAGATAGTTGTTTCTGTTACACCGCATCTTGTCGTTTGTCTGTTGAACAAAGACTACAGTCATTGATGCATCAAGATTCACAAATCAGTCGGAATTCTCGAGAATAGTGGCGATTTTTTAAGTATTGTATATCATTTCCAGATTAGTTTTTGAATGCTTTTTTTTTTTGTTTTGTGCGATTGTCCTGTCTTGAAATTAGGCGTAGTGTAACCAAATTCATTGTTGACGTTGCATTGTGTGTTACACTGTAATCAAAACTATATCATGAAAGATGGTAAGTAAATTTTTACGATATCAACTGGTTGTTAAAGCGTATTAATCAGTCGTCTATGGTTTGATAAATATTGATAAGCTTTAACTCGAGTAATGTTAGTGATTTACGTAATTTACGTAATCTCGTACAACATTATTGTAAAGGTACAAAACCTTGTCTACGCTTTTGTTAAGACAATCGCATTAAATACGTAATCGCCCGACTTTTTAGATCAGTTCTTGGTTTACCACAACAATGGCAAAAATTGTTCGTCTTTGTATCGAAATTAGAGTTTACTGTATCCCTTGTGTTGAACGATAAAATTCAAACTTTGTTAACCTTATGTATGCAGACAAATCACCGAGATAACAGCGGTTATGGCTTACGGCTAGACATTACTCTAAACGCTAGATGGTACTCGAGAACGTATAAACAAGAAGCCTGAACTAATAAACGAAACGGCGTAAACTGTTTATCCGACTATTAAGATAAATGTATGGATGAAGAAAAACTGCTATGCCAGGTTGCCTGTACCTACTTCATATTAATATGTGTAATCTCAGTTTATTTGCTTCACAACCGATGGAGTGCATACGGAATTAAAATCTCAATTGTAAGTGACTTTCTGTACAGAATATTGATAATCTTTTGAGTTCAACATTTACTTTGAACATATTATTATTATCTTCTCAATTATCAGGCTAAATGTTTGTGAAGATTAACCGCATCATTATTGGTGGAACGGTGAAAACAAAATATACATCGTACTCCGGATTCTAGTCGCATTCGCTTAATAAGGTCACTAAAATCTAATTATACACGTCAATTTTGTAATTAACCAATAAAAATTGATCAAAATTTTTTATGATTTCTATGTGACTTAACAGACGATTTAGCAGTTCTACCCACGAAAAAATCGATACAACTTGAAAAGGAAATAAACGCGTGACGGAATATGGGAGATAGTCGCTCTTTTACTGCTAATTGGCGTCGTGACTAGGATTTCTTGTTTATGGACTTCGTTTATTGCCGAGATAATTCGTGTAGATTAACACTAATATTAAGGTGAAATAAATAGTTGAGAATGTTCATTTTGTCCAACAATATCTTTGATAATTTACAGTGAAATGAGTCTGCTCATGAAGTTAATAACGGTTCTACCAACTACTAAGCCAATAAATAATTTCTAATCTGTCTATTCATACTAATCCCTTTATTTACGCATCAGCTGACTGTTCCATCAATTGGAGTATAATTTTAGGGAAAATCGTCTTGTCATATGAAATGCCAAGTTAACGCTCCATCACTGTTCTTCAATATCCAAGTTCTTTAGCTCTGAGCTCCCTAGCAGCAAGATGCAGATCTTCTCTCCAATTCTCAAATACTAATATTTCCTTCTTCTCACCAGCTTCTTCATCCTTACAACTGTTGACCAATTCAAGTATTTCTCTGATATACTGGCTTGCTTTGACAGCTCCGAATTCATGATAGTCTCTAGGAGTTGTGAACATTGCATCAATGGAAGTCGAATTATATTCTTTACGCATGGAAGTGAGAAACGGGAGTTGGATACGGGATGCATAGACGTGCGAGATCAAAAGAGCTTGCGTCTGGCTCAGGGCGGGCGGAGATATCTTTAATGGAAGGGCTACGAACGCCAGCTAAAGTATTGATTAAATAAAAAGATAAAGAAAGTTTGCATGGAGGGAGCGACAAAAGAAGGTTAGAATGAGACAAGATACGGAATATAAAAAAAACGGAATACCAAAGATTAAGACAAAGTCCGTGATTTCAACTTACTGTCGGATTGGGTATATAAAACACCTGTTTGTACAGGTTATAAACTCTTTTTCCACTTGTTACTAATATTCTCTCCTTACTAACATCTCCATGCTTTCCAATCTCAATACCATGTAAGAAAGGATACGAATACATAAAACCCGTTGCAAAAATAATCCTATGCACGTTTATAACTGTGCCATCTATAAATTCGACTTGGCCGTAAGGAACGCTCTTTTTTTCGTGAACGCAGTAGCTGTCATCGTTATAAGCGTTGGCATTGTCCGAATAAGATACAATAAGCCTCTTCACGATAGGTTTGACAATAACCGACTCGGCGATGCTTGTTATTGAAATGATACGGCGTACGGAAAGGTATATTGGTGATTTAAAAGTCGAAGCGAGTTCGCGCGAGATATCTGATCCTGATGCCGCACATCCTATCACTAATGTTGGCTTTACAAAAATATTATTAGTTGATGATAAGACAACAACAGGGTAGGCCTATACAATCAATTTACCTGATCTTCAAATAAATCGGGCCGGCGGTATTGTTTAGAATGCAGTATACGTTCAGGCCATGTATTTGCCCACTCTTTCAAACCGTCGATTTCTGGAATATATGGCACATTGTAGTGACCAGTACAGACCACTACTGCATCAAATTGTTCCTCCCTCCATTCAGCCACATATTTTGCGGCATCACTGTCATGTGCTCCAATGTCTTTTCGATTATAATCGGGAACTGGCTCTCGATCTTCGCCAATTTTCTCCATCTCCACGTTATTCTCAACAAGATCTATTTTTTGCTTATCGTTCTGTATTTGTTCATTTCCCGTCCTCTTCAATTTCTTCGTAATAACCTTCCATCCATTCTCGCTTTCGATAACTCTCGTCACGTTCACGTTATAAGAAATAACGTCATTCAGTTTATGTTCCTTAACGAAGGATTTCAGATACGATAGTACGACTTTGTGATTAGGGAATAGAGGCGTATTCGGTGGATATGGCGTATTGAAATATGTCATCATTGGCGTTGGTATATTAGTGTGGAGGCCGGCATAGATAGGAGACACATTACGGATATTATGAGAGGTGGAAGAACAAGATGATTCGGTGTCTGGTATCTCCTCGGGAGGATCGGATATCATTGGATCTGTGCTCGGAAATAAGGGCACTGGTCCAGTATCCTCAGAGTATACCCTGTTACATGATCCTACAGTATTCTAGTTGATAGCAGAAACAAAGTCGCGAATCATTTACATGCAATCTTACCATATTCCTCCAGGTTGCTCCCCTCTCTCGTAAACAGTCACATTCAACCCAATATCCATCAGGACTTTAGCCGTTACCAAGCCAGCAACGCCAGCACCTATAACGCATACTTTTTGTATTTTATAGGGGAATGTATAATAGTCTGCTATGCTTTCTGACATACTAAAGTAAAAATTTGACAACCTTCACTTCACATCGGTCCTACTACTGTACGTCGTCGATTATCAATACGTTTTTGGTACCGTACAGCATAATTGCTTCAGCATTTTAAAATTTTTCGAAATCTGTACTACTTGCCAACTTTTGTACAGTGCCTTCTTTGTATTTTTTTCTTGGATTTCAGAGACTGAGCCAAGGAGAGAGTAGGTGGTGTAGTTTTGTTCTTTTATTACTTTAAAAGTATTTTCATTGTTAAATTATTTTATTAATGTAGTTACTGTAATGTTGTCCAATTTAGATGAAAGAATCGTTTGGAGCGCGATAAGAACTTTTCTCGTTGAGGAGTTTTATGATAGACATACCATATTGTACCAATTGATTTAGCTTACAGAATTATGTTGTTTTTCAATTACATCACGTGCTTGACTAAACAATAAATTTTAAAGAAAAAAAATCCATCAGAATAGACATGTTAGCATTTACACTTTACAATATTTCTTTTCGATTTGCAAATACAAGCTTGCTTCAAAGAAATACAACCTGCTCGCTTAATTTTTTTTTTGAGATACAGATGGAAAAAGGACTCAACGAGATTGTTCTCAAGCCCAAAAATGTCTCAGTGTACGTAGTCATTCAGCTAAGTGTAGGGCGATTAAAACTCCGAGTATTTGATTTGAAGTTCTTCTATTGCCGTGTTGCAAGGCTTCGGCCGTTTTGTGGCATACATCACGTCCTTTGTTACTCTTGAAAATTGTTTGGTATTTAATAATAATATTTATCTTCGTCTTTATGTCGAGTTATTTGAATATTGAACCTGTTTCTTTATTTGTTTCTACGCTACAGCTAATCTCACCAACATTCAACTATTTGCGTAAGACTTAAATTCGATACACCACATTCTCAATAAGAGATCACAAGCAGCTTTAGAGGTCCACCTTAGTTGCGCCTAATAAAGGACACGAAATCTCAATAAGAGATCACATGATCATACGATTGTGTCAAATGCTGATAATTGTAACAAATCAAGAAAGTGGTATTGTATGTAGACTTGTTTCCAGCTCTACTTCTTATTTTTCTGGTGTCACAGGCATCAATGTTGTCAAAGAACTTTGGTGATGAGACAGGTTCTGATTCACTGTCTGCATAACTGCCATCTGATGCGATGCTTGCTGATTGCATCAAATTATAACAAATTTGAGCAGACTCACATATACAACTCTATTAAAACAAAATAGTTAAAGACAGTGCAGGTTTGAAAGATCTCAACATCACCATATCTACTTTTCATCGCAATAAAATTCAAAGCATATCGCATTGTCTTTTGAAACTTTTGTCTGTCTTTGTGGAAACGATTATAATTTTTAGCATACGGGGGACCACTTACTTTACATAGCAGCAGTTCAAACTCATAATGTTTTAACTCCAGAACAAAGTCTATTTTTGCTTCTATTCGCTTTTTGAACGTTTCCTCTTTATTTTTCTTTAAAAAATCGACAATGGACCATTTGGATGATTTTCGATCGAAAATTCGTGTACGGACATGGTATTGTTACGGTCGGCAATTGTTTGGTTGGGAGAGCCAATTAAATCTTTAATGTAGGCGTGTTCACCGACCAGGGAGT